TTTCTTTCTTTCTTTTCCTTACTTCGCCGCCCGAGTTTGCACACTTTTCCTTTCCAAAATGATTTCTTCTTCAATTTGCTTCTAGCTGGTTGCAGCGTTGCTCCGTTATTTCTTCGATACGACACATATCGATGGCCTTCTCCATCGTAAAATCCTGCATCGCAAATGCACCCACTGGTTGCTCGTTACTATTTTGTAACGAGGTCCGATTCTAATGCTGCAAATTTGCAATTCTTTGCCAGACTCTTCAACCGCGTAGTAAAATCGTTAATTGACTCGGTGGATATCTGATTTGCAGAAAAGAAAGCCAACCTGTCGACGAATAGTTTCCTGGCACGGACCACTTTTGCCTTGATTGCCCTTAGTGCATCTGCGTCAGTTGAAATATTTCTTCAAAGCTGCCTCGCCAATAACAGACAGCAAAAGCTCACAATTTTGCCGTTGTCCGCCGGGGCCATTTGTCCATGCCAACTGCCTTGGAATAGTTATTCCAGTTTGCCAAAAATAAGTTGTTATTCTCCTCCATGTCTCCTTCCAGCGCTAATGGAGGAGGAAGCGGTACAGACGGATTGATGTTATTTTGTTGCGGGATGCGCGATTGCTTCATCCCTTTTACGATTTCTTCCGTCCATTTGTTTTGTTGGGTTATGAACTTTGCGAATTGTTCCGCATCCATCTTGTTTCGCTTTTCTTTTCTTTTTATGAATATTTTCCTCGATCAAAAGAAATATGGTTGGCGCGGACCTCGTTTATATGTTCACATGCGAGTGACAGAGACCACTACAGTCCTCCTCTAACAAACTTCCGCGAGATGATTCTTTAGACGGAAAACTGAATATTAACTGTTCTCGATGAAGATGACGAGAATTATAATCACTAGTCACGACACTTCTGACACCATGTCTTACCTAACCTTACCAATCAGGCTAAGGCCTTGTTGTCCTCTGCTGTCCGAAGGAGTCGTCTCCACTCTACTCGATCCATGGCCAGAGTTCGCCAGCCTCGTAGTCTGCGAAGGGTCCGCAGGTCACCTTCTACTTGGTCGATCCACCTTGCCCGCTGTGCGCCTCTTCTTCTTGTTCCTGTTGGGTCGCTTTCTAGAACCATTTTCACTGGGTCATCGTGCGGCATTCTTACGACGTGCCCAGCCCACCGTAGTCGCCCAATCTTTGCAATGTGGACGATGGATGGTTCTCCCAGCAGCTGGTGCAATTCGTGGTTCATTCGCCTCCTCCACGTTCCGTCATCCATCTGCACTCCACCGTAGATGGTACGCAACACCTTCCGTTCAAAAACACCAAGGGCGCGTTGGTCCTCCACGAGCATAGTCCAGGTCTCGTGGCCGTAGAGGACCACCGGTCTAATCAGCGTCTTGTAGACAGTCAACTTCGTGCGGCGGCGAATTTTATTCGACCGGAGCGTCCTCCAGAGTCCAAAGTAGGCACGATTCCCTGCCATAATGCGTCTTTGAATTTCTCTGCTGGTATCATTTTCAGCGGTCACCAGTGAGCTCAAATACACGAACTCATCGACCACCTCGATTTCGTCACCGTCAATCTGAACTCGGGGTGGGAGGCTAACATTGTCTTCCCTAGAACCTCTTCCTTTCATATATTTTGTCTTTGATGCGTTGATGGCAAGTCCAATCCGTCTAGCTTCAGCCTTCAGTCTGATGTACGTTTCCGCCATCATTTCAAAGTTCCGTGTCATAATGTCAATGTCATCGGCGAAGCCAAGGAGCTGGATGGACTTCCTGAATATCGTGCCACTCGTGTCTATCCCAGCTCTTCTGATCACACCTTCTAACGCGATGTTGAACAGCAGACACGAAAGTCCATCACCCTGCCGTAACCCCTTTCGAGATTCACTCGAGAGTGTCCCTGATACTTGAACAACGCCGCCTTGACCAATCGCGTCAGTTTATCCGGAAATCCGTACCCGTGCATAATCTGCCATAGCTGATCTCGATCGATTGTGTCGTATGCGGATTTGAAATCGATGAACAAATGATGTGTGGGCACGTTGTATTCGCGGCATTTCTGCAGAACCTGCCGAATCGCGAAAATTTGGTCCGTGGTAGCGCGGGTACCCATCAATCCCGCCTGGTATTGTCCCACGAACTCTCTTGCATATGGTGACAGACGGCGGCATAGAATTTGGGAAAGTACCTTGTAGGCGGCGCTCAGCAGTGTGATCGCGCGGTAGTTGCAGCAATCCAACTTGTCGCCCTTTTTTGTAGATTGGGCATACGACACCTTCCATCCACTCCTCCGGTAATATCTCCTCCTCCCAAATCTTGGCAATTACCCAGTGCAGCGCTCTAGCCAGTGCTTCACCACCGTATTTTAATAGCTCACTTGGTAGTTGATCTACACCAGTTGCTTTGTTGTTCTTCAGCCGACCGATCTCCTCCTTAACTTCTTGAAGATCAGGGGCCGGTAGCCTGTCGTCTTCTGCGCGTGCTTCAAGGTCCGTGTGTCGTTTACGCGGTACAGATTTTCCATCGCCTCGCGATCTCGGTCTTCCTGCTGACGCTTCTTCCTTCGGAAAACCGAGTTTTGTCTGTTCCGCGCTTGTCTGTATCGCAGTTTGGAGGCGAACCAGCCTAAGGCTGAAAGCCTCCTAAATAAAGCTAAATAATAATAATTGTCTGTATCGCTCCACATTCAATCTCGTGCGGTGTTGCAGCATTCTCGCCCGTGCTGCATTCTTCTCCTCTACTAACAGTTTGCATTCGCCGTCAAACCAGTGATTTCTTCGGTCCGGGATTGCAGTACCTAGTGCCGCTCCAGCCATCTTCAAGAGAAGCTGCGCCAAGCTGCTCTTCCGTGGATAGTGCAACTTCCAGCTGCTGCGCGTAGTCCTGGGCAACTCCGGCGTCCCGTAGTTGCTCAATGTTGGGTAGCGGCGTTCGACTTCGACGTGTGTTATGCACCATCGAGAGTTTTGAGCGCATGCATACTGCAACTAGGTAGTGGTCCGAATCTATGTTCGCACTGCGGTACGTGCGGACGTTGATAATGTCGGAGAAGAATTTCCCGTCGATTAGAACGTGATCGATTTGGTTTTCTGTGTGTTGGTCAGGTGATCTCCAGGTGGCTTTGGGATATCCTTGCGGGGCAAAAAGGTACTTCGAACTACCATATCCCGGGAGGCTGCAAAGTTCACGCATCGTTGGCCGTTGTCGTTCGATACGGCATGCAGGCTGTTTGGCCCGATTGCCGGTCTATACATTGCCTCCCGTTCTACCTGGGCGTCCATGTCGCCGATGACGATTTTGACGTCCCGTTGCGAACAGCCGTCGTACACCTGCTCCAGCTGCGCATAAAGGGTGTCCACGATGAAATTGCCACACACAAAATTGATTCGCAAAATTCGAGTTTTCATCCGATTGCCATCAAATTTTCAGGGATTGAGAAATAACTATTAAACTTCATTTTACCATTTTACTCGTATTTTATTTACAGTCCATACGCAAATGCCCGCACCTTGGCCTTAACCCCGGCCATAAGATTCTGCACAACCTGTGAATCAACCGTTTTTTGCATGTAAACCCATACTTTCTTCAGTTCCTCGACTGTCTTCACTACCTTAGGTCGTTTAAGAAGGTGCTGCTTCATAATCGCCCAGTACTTCTCGATGGGGCGGAGCTCCGGAGTGTTAGGAGGGTTGAACATTTTCGGCACGAAATTGACCTTATTGTCCGCATACCACTTCAGCACGTCCTTGGAGTAGTGGCATGAGGCCAAATCCGACCAGAAGATTGTTGGGACGTTGTGGGCCTTCAGGAGAGGAAGCAGCCGCTTCTGGAGGCACTCTTTTATGTACACCTGTCCGTTCATCGTGTCCTGGGTCACGAAAGGTGCACTCCGCTTCCCGCACGTGCAGATGGCTTGCCAAACCAGGAATTTCTTCGCAAATTTGGACATCTTCTGAGTGCGGACATGCTCCGGAACGCTGAACTTATCCTTGGTCGTGAAAAACAGGCTGCCGGGGATCTGTTTGAAGTCGGCCTTCACATATGTTTCGTCGTCCATGATGCAGCATTCAACTTTCGTCAGCATGTTGAGGTACAACTTCCTGGCACGGGTTTTGGCGAACTTGTTCTGCTTCTCGTCGCGATTAGGGGCCTTTTGTACCTTGAACGTTCGAAGCCCAGCCTTAGTTTTGGCCTTCTGGACAAAACTTCGGCTTAGGTGCAGCTTCTTAGCCACATCCCTAACGGAGGCGTGCGGATTTCGGTTGAAGGCCCCAACTACGCGGTTGTGATTTTTAGTGTTGTACGGAATACTTTTTCCTTCACTTCTGGGCTTCCGATCGGTGGTCAACCGTTCCTCGAACCGCTTAATCACTCGCGACACCGTGGAATTCGCGATTCCCAACGTTTTAGCGATGGAACGATGCGAGAGATCCTTGTTCTCGTGATGAATGCGCAAGATTTTATCACGCACGAGCTGTTCTTTCGACTCCATTTCCGCGAGTTTTGATCACAGCACTTTAAAACTTGCAGGATGTAAATAATGCACTATGAACTAAATCCACCCAAATTTTCATTAAATTCTACCCAACGGTTACAAAGTTAGAGCAATTTCATAGTGTGGCAATTTCATCGTGGACACCCTTTAGAACGCTTCTTTCTCGTCGTCGGGTCTCCCTTCGTGTGGGCAGTGCACGTTGATGATGCTGTTGTTGAAGAAACGGCCCTTAATCCTCAACTTGCACATCCTCGCGTTGATCGGCTGCCAACCAATCACGCGTTGGCGCATCCAAATAACATTTGAAAATGGGAAATTCTTTAAAAATCAAATTTAGTTGATTAAAACAGTTGACTAAAGAGCATTCACAGCGTTCACTCCAATTTCAGAGCCCAGAGAACATCCAAAAACACTCAAAACTTTCTCTAACAACCTTTCTCTCTCTTTCTGTATAGAATCCTCCATTTTGCGAACGACGATATTAACGAACCCTTTTCTTTCCCTTTCTATCCATCTCATCCACAGTGAAACGGACTCTTCGTGCTATTTTTTGGCCAGCCGATTTGATACGTTGGCTGCCAGTTTCACCTAAAGCAGTTTGAACAAAACTACTCGCCACACCGTTTACTGCTGAGCTGATAGCTGTGCTAAGGAAAACCACTACCAGAACAACCCGAGAATTAAACAAACAAACAAACAAAAAAACAGCAACAACAACGTGCACACAAAATCCACATTATTATAAATACACGCGTCGTCAAACATCGAAGATAACAACAAACAAACCAAAAAAAAACTACATTTCTTAAACTACTAAACAATTACCGAACTGCTGCTGACTATACTGTTCGCCATTAGCGGAGAAGGATCGACTAGAATTCTACCTACTGTTCAGCAAACTAAATCGACTAAACTACGAGCGGAAGGAGAAGAAGCAAACGGAGGAAGTAAGGAGGAGAATCAACTTTAGTAGTGCAACAAATTCAACCAAGATGGGAGGAAGATGATGTTCAGAATCTAAGTAAAACTAGCTTTATTATTTATTTCCGAATTTTCAAACGTCCTAGTCAAAATTCATTTCATCCAGAGCAAAGAACTGGTCAGAAACTAATGATAACAGAAATTCAGCCTCTCGTTAGCGAAAGAGAGCGATGAGTTTCGAAGTAATTAATAATAAACAAACCAAAAAAAAACTAGAAAGCAAACAAAAGGCAGCGGATAGTTGTAAAACAGTTTTAGTAAAAGAGAACAAAGCAGACGTTGGGCAGCAAGACAACAGCAAAAAAAAAACCAAACACACGTTCCCGAATAGAAAACCAAAAAAAAAATGAATAATTATACTGTATACGCTCGCTTGTTTAATGATGATACTAGGCTGAGAAACAAACAAAAAAAAATCGTTAAGAGCCGTCTCTAGGACGACGCTGCAGTAGCATAGAAGAACAACCAAGTGATTGAGAGAGCGATCGATTTCGTTTCGTTTTTTCCATTAACCTCAAAACCCTACAGAAAACCCGTTACCGATCGAATACATATAGGCATTCGTTACTTTTACAGCTGCAAAAGAAGGTAAAAACAACACCCTTGAAAGATATTAAAAGTAGAGATCACACAAACTGCCCTTCATTGAAGAAGAAAAAAAAAAAAAAGAAAAATACTCACGAGTCGTGAACAACCAAAACACACATACATACACATGTTAGTTAGCGAAACCAAATCAGCAACAACAAGAACATCCAATTCACTAATGAACGAGAAAACAGACGCCATTTTCATCTTCGTTTCTCTTATTGATTTCCTTCGAATATGAAACCAAAAAGATGTAGAAAACGATAGTTTTTTCTTTCTCTTCTCCAAAACCAAAACCAATGATGATGATGCTAAGCTAATCACCAAAAAAAAACTGCTGAAAGCTGTTTAAATTTATCGCAAAAAATATAAATATTATCTAAGAGACAAAAACATAGTTAAATTGAATAATGTTATTGATAACAAAATGTTTTATAGTTGAATTTCCAAAGAAAAGTAAAGCAAAAATAAGATCTTTTTTTAAAGCCCCCGAAAACGAAAGTCATTTTATAAATTAATTGTAAAACAAAGAGAGGAATAGAAAACCACACCCATCCATACGGATTAACGTAAAGCCCTTAAAAAAAAGCTAGAGTTCTGAATCAGCATTCATCCTTTAAGCTCGTTTCTTCTTTTTCTAAAATCAAACACGAATAAAGCTAATTCAACTTACGAGAACGAAAAAAAAAAAAAACAAACGATTCCAATATCATCACATTTTTCACATTCATTCGTAGTTGAACTACTTTCGAATCTCTCAACTAGTAGAGGAAAAGTATCATTACAATAAGAACGCAAAAACAAACAACTACTCACAACTTGAAAGCTTTAAATCTTCCCAAAGTTATATACACAGTTTCAAATTGTTTTCTTTTTTCGAGAAACAATAAACGAACGGAAAACAAACAAACACTCACTTTTTCTCGCTTTGCCGAATCTCTCTTTCTCGAAGCCAACTGCGATTGGTTTAGTTTTTTTTTATCTACTGTTTATAATTTCGAACACAGCGCTTGTCGTCTAAATTTTTCAGTTATCGACACAAACCAGAATCGAAAATCTGTTTTCTCGGATGCAAAATTTTTAAGATAGTTAAACAAAAATCAAAAGCACACACCCAACAGACCGACACAATCCTTCCCCGAAAAAACCACACCCAACCGGTGATTTTGTTCTCTAAAGCAAGCAAGCGACGAACCGGAAGCGGAAGAAGAAGTCGAAAATTAATAAAAAAAAACCCGTGCAGAGGAAGTAAGAGTTTAAGACTATTTTATGCATATCAAAGAAAATAATAAAACTTTAATAAAAGCGAAGAAAGAAAACCGGATTAAGCGAAAAAAAAAAATTGTGCGAAAGAATCAGTTAGTTAAACAAGCAAACAAAGCAAACAATTCGACGTGCAGCACACGAAGCGATTTAGCACAACAGAAACAATACACAACCCAATGACTGCAAATATCAAGCAAGTAGAAGAAGAAGAAGCAAACAATAATGAGCGAAAACAAATAATAATTGACGTAATTGATGCGTTGCGAAAGGTAAAACCACAACAACAACAACAACAACAACACAAGACGACGACGACCACAACGTTGCATTGATTTGGAGCTTTTATTTTTCGTTTTTGAATTTTCTATTTCGGGGCTGTCCGCAACCCACGTGGACAGTTTTTTTTTTAGAGGTTTTAGACACCTACCTCCCCCCTCCACCACTGCGTGGACATTCGTCCATTTAAATTTTGTATTGACCGTGGATATTTGCCGACCTCCTAGTGGCCAGAAATTGTCCACGTACTATATGGAAGACCCCCGTTCCTCGCGCTTCGGATGGTGGGCTTTTGTGTGCAGAAGGGGAAAGTTTAAAGTTTGGAAACGTCAGGTGATTATCATGCGATGGAACAAAAAAAAAACACAGCAACCCATTTGGAAATTCAAATTTCAACGGGAAATTGGTGCAATTCTGAAAATTAGGTCCATAAATCCAGTCCTTCAGGGCTTCAATATGTCAGAACAGAATATTGGAAAAGTTGTTACAATTGTTCAGTAAAGCAAAAATATTGTCAATATTCAAAGTTACTGACATTCATATTGATACAAATATTGGCGACGAAAATATTGATGAACATGTTGACGCAAAATCAAAAAAGTTTGATCCCCTGCTTAAATATCTCCCTTCATTTTCCCCCTCTGTTTGACAACAGCAGCAGATGGGGCCTGTTCCTCGGCAACTTCTTTCAAGGCGGTTGTGATTTGCCTTGGAATATTCCATCGGATACAACGATGTTAGTGAGGAACGACCCGGTATGGATGAATTATTGTCGAAAATATTGACGTGAGAATAATGATGGAAATATTAACGAAACTTCTGTCGTGTGGAGGCACTTCAGGCCAAGCCCACCATTTGCTCTATCATAACATTTGCATCAACATCTGAATCGATGATGATAAGGATCCTAATGTCCCCTCAAGGGGTGGTCACCCTACACACATATTTTGCACCAATTTTTTCTCAGTGTGCCGGCAGTGCCAAGTGTGCCAGTCATTGAACTGACTTTGTTTGGTTCTGGATAATGGCGTGTTTGGCAACCCGGTTAATTTGACGGCTCAATTCAAGGCTCATTTTTGTTTTGTTTTGAAGCCGAGAACGTCAGCAGCGCTAACATATTTAAGCTCCAACCATGTAAGATTAAATGCGGCAAGGTGGCAACAAATGTAATGCCTTCAAAACCATTTTTACTTTCCCGCAATGGACAGTTAAAAAATGATTTCTAGAAAACACTATCTCTAGAATCTAGAAAACACTATCTATTTTCCGCAACGCGGCGCGACATTTACCAAGCTTAATCATAGAGGAAAAGGAGGAGCTGTCAAATTAGCACCAGAGCACTAGAGAAATTTGACTTCACTCACTCGAGTTGTTCGCAGATGACAGGCGTTGCAGTTCTGTGAAAGCAACTAGCACAACAAGCAGTGAAGTTCGATAAATCCCAACCAAGACGACGATACTTTTGGCGAATAACCGTGAGCGATATCAGCCATCCGTCACCGTGATCCGATTGACCGTGAGCGATATCAGCCATCCGTCAGGACACAACAAAGAGAAAAAGACCTCCTGAGATGATGGCGGAAACGTACATCAGACTGAAGGCTGAGGCTAGACGGATTGGACTTGCCATCAATGCATCAAAGACAAAATACGTGAAAGGAAGAGGTTCTAGGGAAGACAATGTTAGCCTCCCACCCCGAGTTCAGATTGACGGTGACGAAATCGAGGTGGTCGATGAGTTCGTGTATTTGGGCTCACTGGTGACCGCCGAAAATGATACCAGCAGAGAAATTCAAAGACGCATTATGACAGGGAATCCTGCCTACTTTGGACTCCGGAGGACGCTCCGGTCGAATAAAATTCGCCGCCGCACGAAGTTGACTGTCAACAAGACGCTGATTAGACCGGTGGTTCTCTACGGCCACGAGACCTGGACTATGGTGTTTTCGAACGGAAGGTGTTGCGTACCATCTACGGTGGAGTGCAGATGGATGACGGAACGTGGAGGAGGCGAATGAACCACGAATTGCACCAGCTGCTGGGAGAACCATCCATGGTCCACATTGCAAAAATTGGGCGACTACGGTGGGCTGGGCACGTCGTAAGAATGCCGCACGACGACCCAGTGAAAATGGTTCTAAAAAGCGACCCAACAGGAACAAGAAGAAGAGGTGCGCAGCGGGCAAGGTGGATCGACCAAGTAGAAGGTGACCTGCGGACCCTTCGCAGACTACAGAGTGGAGACGACTTCTTCGGACAGCAGAGGACAATAAGGCCTTAGCCTGATTGGTAAGGTAAGTACACTCCTGCTGGACAAGCTGATACCGGACAAACTGGCGCGACCGGAAGATCCCCTCGAGAAGGCGGTCGAGTTCTTCCAACCGGTTGACGAAGACAGCATTGAAACGAATCTGATTGTATTCCTGCCACCGCTGGAATGGGCTCACGCTATCGATGCCACAAGAAGCTCTTCCGGGGTTCAAAATTAGATTTGGAGATCAACGATGGCTATCTGGTAGCGAAGTGGGACAAGGCGGAGCAGGTAGACTAATTCAAAAAGTTATGGGGTTATGTTCACCGATGTTGCTCTTTAACGACTGTCACTACCAGTACCACCGGGATGATCATGTACCAAGTGAAGCAACAGTCATCGAAAGCCACCATCATACAGCCACCGTCAAGATCAAAATAAACGCTAACTAAAACTAGCCTAGCCTTTTTAGTCGATTTCGAACGGTTCAAACCGAAACACAACACAGATTAGCAGTGGAGAGCAGTGATGCAAAATATCATAACACTCACTCGACACTCGGCAACGAATCACCCGACTATCGCTGACAGAACGTTTGGTCACGCAGTGAGAGGTAGAGCCATGGCAAACAACAATCACCAGTAATGGTCGATGCTCACAGGCAAAACGTAACACTCGTTGCTGATGATGTAAAGCACAGTGAACACTTCTGCAGTACGATGATGAGAAAAAGCGAAACGGCAGAAGAAAATGAAAACATAGCCTACGCATTCCAAGTTCGTCGTTACAAACATAACTGGCAAAATTAAATGGAAACTGTTGGGCTCACTCACCAACACACTCACATAAGCAATCAAAGCAGCAACTGCTTCAAAACGAGCACAGATGAGTGTCGTGAATGTCGGGAATGACCAGATCGGTGATGGATCACCACCGAAGACGACATTCACCAGTTGCTTTTTACTTCTTTCGGCAACTTGATGGATACTCGTGGAGAGTGCTTCGACAAGCACATCGATTGGAATATACCAAGCGTTACTACCATCAGCTGTTTGACGATCGTGGTTGTGATAGGTCGCAACTCTGGTGGAGAGAACGGTTCTGTCCATTTCTTTTCCATTATTTCATCATCTTCTATTCGAAGCTTTGGACGGACGGATCATACAATATAGAGTGACATTAGCTTGTAATAACCCCCTCGAGGATAGCACAGGTACTGGGATGAATTTTCCAAGATCGTTGATCCAGTTTTCTTTGCTGATGAACGATGAAATGACTGGTGCAGCAGCCGTGCCGTGGAAGGAAGTGATCCAGCCCTTCCAGTCGCCAGTAACTTTAAAGATCATGCCAATTTCCAACCTTGGTTGCCAAACAGTGCCAATTAGTATGCCCAGGTGCTCCCAACTGTGTTTTGACGTAGGACTACGTCTGTGATTTCTATATGGGGGTACACTTTGTGAAAACCGAAAATGGAACATGTAACAAAATTATGAAAGATTTTGAACGTTAATAACTCAGCTGCCCCTAGACCAATTTTATTAATTTTAGCACCAATCGATCAATTCAAAACTTTATAATTTTTAAAAAATGTCACTCTTGAAAAATGCACGAATGTGCTACTGTTGCTATGATAATTAAAATTATCATCGATTGCCTGCGAAAAGCCATTTCCCTAACACAGACTTCAAAGTTGAATAAAATTCGGTCTCATCGAACGGTGTTTATTCAATCACCACGTGGTGAGTGGTGGTGTTCTCCAGTACTCAACGAAAGGCTGCCTGAAAGCAGCGAGCGGCAGCCCACATAGAAGGAGGAAGAAGTCGCTCCGCTATTGATCGAAATCGGTAGCTATTCGTGAGTTACTGTGGGCCATCTATTTCAAGCGAGTCATACTAAAGAGTATAAACAGAGAGAACCATCCTCAAATTCCTACTCCTACACAAAACACAAGCTCCTGCTGCAGTTAACAAATAAGATTTATTATATAAGACCAAGTAGTCCTACGTCACCATTGCGTACAACCCTATAGGGCTGTCCCTTGTAGTTTTTGGCACACTGTGCGGAATGACAACCCCTTGTAACACCTCTAATATGATCTAATCTAATCTAACACCAACACCAACACAGCCAGTTCTTGAAAGCATCCTGGAAAATGATGGATACCTCTTTCAATTTCCTCGTCTATTTGATTTATCTAGATAGAGCTGGAATTAGGGCGAAACAGCTTTTGTAAACAATGACTTCTCTCGATGATTTCTAGGAATTCAAGGCATGTCCACGCAAATCAACATAACCATCAGGTAGGGGAAGTCTTCCCCTATCCGATGATGATGTTGATTTGCATAGGTGAGCCTTAACTTTCTAGAAATCACCGAGAGAAGTCATTGTTTACAAAAGCTGTTACGCCCTAGACATGTTTCACATCAAAGATGCGTCACACATACCAAAACGGCCTCACTGTGCAGCATTTAAGGGGCAAGCTGATTTAGAAAACATCGGGCCTGTTTAAATCAAAAATTCAAACACGATACTTCAGAATCCAATAAATGGAGGAAACGTGGACATCTCTCGTACCATACGTTCCGTTTTTGGTAATTAGGGGGAAAATCTACTTTGGTCTAATCGCCCATTCCCGGCCTATCGAGCACAAAACATCAAATATATCTATAATTTCGGCATGAACGTGTCAAACAAACGTTTGGTACGATGCTTATTTTCAATAGCTGCAAGACGAAGTGTTGAAGAACGCAAAATGAGATCTCGAAAACAGAAGGCGCACGCGAATTCACATTTCTTTCCGTTCGATAGGCCAAAGAGAATCCCAATGGCGTTTCAATGGCTAATAGGCCCAAGAAAACCCGTAGGCCAAGTTGAGCCGCCAGAAGTAGTTTTGCATTTCCAACACTATACGAATATTTCGCGATCCCTTATCGGAACTAACGGTACATATGGAAAGGTACATAAATT